CTCATTCCGAAAAAGTTGTCATCCACATCCTTCCTCTCTCTCTCTCAAACATTGTTTGCTTCTTTGAGTCCATCACCTCTGTTGTTGGATCTAGTAGTACGGTTGCCGGAGAACTCTTGCTCACCACCAATCCCGCCGTCTGTGACACCTTTCCGTCCGTCGTCCCCACCATCCGCAACTCTTGCAGTGCTAAGCTGTGGATACCCACCAAGGATTGAAACATGGTTTTTACAGGCCTATGGTTTGTGAAAGCCATGCATCTGTCTGGATATTGGTTCAGGTTCAACAAGGACCATTGCAGACGCTACAACAAACATGTGTCTTAAGGCTGAACATTCGGGACCACATGCATCTGTTTATATGACTAGGCTTAGCATGACCCTCATTTGTTTCACTAGCAAAATGAGAGATGCAACTGCCATTCTTGGGGTACCATTTCGAACTCCGTAGATACTCATCATGCACAAAATTTCCACCTGTGGTTGACAAAGTATGTGTACCATGTCTCTCGGGATTAACAAGTTGTTTGCTGTGAAGGCTGCAAGTTTGCCATGAAATGGGGTTTAAGCTTTGGTGATGAATCTTGATCCAATTAGCTTCCACTTTTTTACAAGAGCAATGTAATGAGGAAAAAACGAACATTTTTGTACTGACCCATAGCAAAAGTGAAGAATATGAATACTTGGGTTTAGTGTCACTACAGTTGCAATGTTTCAGACAAACAATGATCACAACTTCACGAAATATGCAAGTTTGGACAAGACTGAATCTGCTAAACTAGTACTCATAAGGGTGTTTTGGTCTTAAAAAAAGTGTTTTCACTTTATCCCAGCATGGGAAGTTTTTGTTACCATATTCTCAATGGGTTTCTCCCATCCGGTTTCATAGAAGAAAACAATTTGATGGGAACAAATGTTTCCAACCAAAATTTTAATTTTTCTTTCTACCAAATATGACCAACTTTGTTTCTCTACCCCACTTTTGAGGGAAATTATTTTTTTCCACCCTACCAAACAGCCCCTAAGATTCAAAGAATAAAGTTTGATTAAGTAAAGTCACACTTCTTTGCTTATTTAGTTTTTTAAATTAAAATTTGAAGAAACCATGTAGGAAAAAATGATTACAAAATTTGTACATAAATTGCTATGGACTTAGACACACACTTGTTGTTTATTGCGATCAATACCATTCTTGGCATGTTTGGATTGGTCTTTTTTTATTCGGAAAGTTTTTTTTTTGTAAATAAAATTTTATTTCTTGTATGTGCTTAGACGCAGTTTTTTTTTTAAAAAAAAAATTATAAGTGAAAAAAAAATAGGTAAAAGGATATTTTTTTTCGAAACTAAGATTTTTTACTATTGAAAAAAAGAATAACTTTTTACTTTAAAATATTTTTTAGATATTGATGCAAGTACTAAGTAATTATAATTTTTAGCATGGTTTTATAACTTTTTCTAGTTCCATATTAAATAAGTAAAAAGAGAGAAATTAACCTACTAAGAGAGAGAGAGAGAGAGAAATAGAAATTAAGCTTCTTATTTTATAGTAATCCACATCACATAAGTAAACGATTAACAGATGAAACTTTTCCTGGAAGTCAAATTTTGATTGCATCGGACAAATTAAGAAGAGAACTTAAGTTTTATTATAAATTAATAATTAAATAATCAATGTGGTCAAATACGTTTAAAAAAAAAACTGAACTTGTTCATCTATTAAAACCATAACAGTTTCGCATAGTTCAACTAATACAGAAACAGTTCTCTAATTTTTTTATTAACTTTAAAATATTTTCTGAAAATTAATTAGACCGACTAGAGGAACAATTCCTACTTTCTCGGACGGATATTGTTCTCACAACTTAAAACAATTAAAAACTCATAATTAGCTGATGCGAGACTTAAAAATCCACACATGAATATATAACTGGTGAAGTCTCCTATATAGGGTGTTGACTGTTGAGGGCAAGGCCCAACATGGCCTTCATTTTAGATGACACCGTTTATAGAAATTAAGGAAAAAGTTAGTTCTCATTATGTAACCTGATAAGTATATTATAAATTGCAATTGTGGTCACAATGCGGTTACAGTTGTATAGCGACTATTGCGAGCTGATGCAGTCCATAATTGTTGCCTAATGAAATTATGGCGACTAACGCACGTACTATTAAAATCCTGGTAATTAATAAGATAATAAATAAATAAAACATCCAATGACTTGTATTAAAATTATAATCGCAAATTCTGCCGAATACAATTTTCAAATGCTGAAGTTAGTGTACGTTGATGAGATAGCATGCTTGCAACACTAACATATTGCATATAATTATTATTTTTTAAGCATCTCTGATCGTGTTTCTCTTCTATTCTATTTGTTTAATTATATCCCCATTTCTGTCCCAAAGTATTTTTATTCTAATGATGTAATCAAATCTTGAATGGACAATTTTCTCAAGAACCTAGTACTATACTCCCTCCTTCTCCATAGTTTTTCCATTCTCAAGGCCCCACCAAACCTAACGCCCGAGTCTTCTCCCACTCAAACAGTCTATATGACAGTTTTTTCACAAGAAACAAATATCGGCAGAGCCACCATTTTATTAAAAGTCCTCTCTAATATTATTGACACTTTTTTTTTTAGTCTGTATGGAAATATTTTCACTCAACCTCCTCTAACCACCTTTCTTGGAATACTATCTTAAAGTTAGCTCTTCATTGAAATAAAGGGAGTATTGAACCACTGTTAATGGAGAAAGAGCAAGACTAATCCCCCATGCGAAGCTTAGAGTGCAAGAACATTCATGTCTAGTCCAAAAAACTTCTGCCAAAGATCAAACACATACGTTATCCTTCAGACATAGTTCACTTACCAAATGTGCCCGCACCTTGGGTTAATATTATTGACAGTATTATGGTATATTTTTCATATATTCTAACAAAATATAATACCGCAAAAGCAAATAACTGTAAACATAAAACTTACAATCATTGCCCGTTGCGTGATTTGGCTTCATCTCTACAAAGTAATTAGATTTTTTTTAATAAAAGAAAAGGCCAATTCAATTAGCGATGACGTGAATTGCACGCAGGAAAATAATCAAAACAAGGATTATATGAAAGCCCACTCCCGTAACGTGGTGGCCAAGCAAAAATGTTCTACTCATTTGGCCTTTAGTTAACACGAGAAAGCACGGCATAAGCACTCTCGTTAAGAAGAACAAGTGGGGGTGGATGTTGAATATTATTGTTTGGGTGTTGGGAACAGAGAATTGACAAAGATTTGCAACCAATAGTCACAAAGTCAGCATATTACCCCCAAAAACAAAGCTCAATGAAAAGCTTATTAATAAAAGATTACTATGATGACCAAGAGAAAGTAAAGTTGAATGAGAGATACAAGGTTTGGGTCAGGACCAATGGTGAAAGAGGAAGTGGAAGGGGAATAGTATGGATGCATCTGCTTTTAGACATGATGTAGAATTGTTGATTCTCGTTCTTATCATGAGAATATTATTAATTGTACATTTGCGAATGCGGAAAAAGGACCCCACTTCACCAAAAACCCCTTACCTCTTCAACATCATTATCGTTCTTGCTCTTTGATTTATTCGCCACACCAATCACCAAAGCTTGCCTCGTCTTCCGCCGATGGATGCGGGCCACGTGTCCTGTTGAATCCATCGCTACCCTACACTCTCCACGAGCCGATTTGTAACATTTTGGATTCTCCTTTTGAGCATGTAAAAAGGTGGAAATTTAAAATAAAACATAAAAACAAAAATGAAGCTTAATTCCTAAAATGATGAGAATTTAGGATGTAAGGGCAATAAAGTCATAGGCATGTAATCTGAGATTTTGAATAGTCTGCATGAACCACCTAAACCAAGTGCTTTGCAGACCATGGCCTGAATGACACAAAATTTAAAATAATAAACTATTTTCAATATTTTTGCGGTTAAATTAATATGAAATTTCAAAAATATTAATAATAAACGTCTTAAAAAAATCAATATTATCTTAGAAACTATGTTAAGCACAATGAATCAGATTTAAATTCCAATTATTATAAAATGGAAAGAAATTTAATTTCAATTAAACCAAAAGCAACACCCAAATCTTGTGTTTCAGACGAGGCTGAATAAGATAAGATATCTATCTATGTATATGTATTTATTGAGAAGAAAGTCCAAAATGGACACAGATTTATTCCATGGATGGGAAATCTTCCTAATTGAAGGAATATCGTATCCTTTCATCACATGTTAATCATAAAATCAGATCGTACTATATCACACCTTTTGGAGGTACTACTACTGCCGTGTACAAGAGGAACAACAACCATTTGTTCACATGTGACACGTGGACAAATTGGGGCCCGCTGCTACCTATAGCTTAATATTATTTATTTTATTTTCGTCTATTACCAGGTTTTATGGAGGATGTGGTGAAGACTGAAGAGTGAAGTACCAAAGTTGAAATGCGATACAGCTAGGTAATAGATAACAGCTCTCGCTGCCTCTGGTTGACTAGTTTTGCTTAGCCACAGTGCCACACCACAGAGGTCCTGCTTTGGCCCCACTTTCTTCATCGGGCCTCAACTCTGCGCAACTTTTCCTCCTCTGCACTAATTTTTCTTAATCTCCCTAAAACATAGAAAAAAGAATAGGTCTGGCCTTAGCTTCGGCTAAGGAGCGAAATGTTAAAAGGCTAAATAAATAAATAAAATCAACCCTCGTTGAAATGGTATCAAAGAAAAGGAGAATATGAATCTCGTTCAGTCCCAACAAAATAGATTCCATTGAAAAGACATCATTTGCACACACCCAAAAAAAAAAAAAAAAAGAGTAGAATATGAACCACCTAGAAAGACAGGAGATCAATTTGTGCATATCGTCCAACATTAAATTAAATTAAAATACTTAAGAGGAGATAGTAACAATGCAGTTTGAAAACGAAACTTAAATTAATCACAAGTTCATGGAGATCGAAGAAAAAAGGATTTAGAACATTGGAGACATTTTTTATACTCTGTCTTACAAGAACTTTCAAATTACTACATAATATTGATTCGAGAACCCTTGGACGGCTCTAATAGCACGGGAAAACCCAAAGGATTCTCTCTTAGACCTCACTCATCTATTGTGTCCTTAACAAACAAAATAAAAATCGACTCATAAAACCACTCCTTCACTCAGGAAATGATTTTACAGTTCCTGAGATCTGACAAAACTGTAATAGAACTTAAGGCAAAACATAACTTATAATGTAGTACTCTAAAACATATTCCGATGTAGCTACAAAACTTTAGGCGCAAGGTATATTGAGGGGTTCCTCAGTCCAACCAGCAAACTCATCAGCACCAAAATCACCAAAATCGAAATCAGGAAGCTTACTAGGCTCACTGTCTTCAAACCCACAAATTTGGATATCCTCTAAGCCACCAAGATCATCAAAACCCTGCCCATAATCATCAAAGTTTAACCAATCAAAATCAAACCCAAGGTTGGGCTCAGATCCAGATGGAGCAGCAGTAGCAGCAGATGGTGGAGGCACTTTCAACAGACTCAAATCCGGTATTTCCAAACCCGCAAGTTCAGCCACCAAATCATTGGCCTCAACAGCTTCATCGATTGCAATATTGCCCTTCTCAATCAAATTGGAAGCCAAGGTATCCAACTCAAGCACGGAGGATGGTGATGTGTGTGATAACACGCTCTCCGAGTCCTCCGAAGTAGTAGAAAACTTCTCTGACACAGATACAGCAGAAGTCGAAGCAGCAGCAGCAGCAGCAGAAGAGTTACAGTAGTTACTCTTACTCTTATCAGAAGTTGTAGCCAAAGGTGCAGCAGAAGAAGAAGAACCATTATTGTGGGATTGAGCCTTAGCAATAGCTTCAAATTCGAGCCGTTTAGCCTCGTAGGCTCGGGAAGCCTCTTCCGCAGTGTTGTAAGTGCCTAACCAGATACGGGCACTCTTAAACGGATCACGAATCTCAGCAGCCCACTTTCCCCATTTCCTCTGCCGAACACCTCTGTATTTGCCAGATGATTGCCTCCTCGTTGATGGGGTTTGGGTTGAAACCCTCTTCTTGTTTTGAGGTTGACCTTCAATGCAAGTCTTCAACGCCTCACTGTGGTTATTCTCAGCACACGAGCTTGTTTCAGCAGAGACAGGAATGGCAGAAACAACAAGGGGAAGTGAAATCTCAAGGATGCTTCGTTTTATCTTTCTCGGGTTCACAATGACCTCTGACTCATCTTCCGATGAATCAGTAGCATCGGGGTCGTCATACATGATTCGCAGTTTTCTCGTCATCTTGGACTCTTGCAAGGGGTTAGACCTTTGCTTTGGTCTTTTCGCTAGTTGTTTCCGAGACTCAGGCATGGTGGAAAAAAAAAACTTGGGGGAAAAACCCTCCAAAAACCCCTCAAAATACCCAGAAAATTGTGAAGGAAACCAAAATGAAATAAATAAGGAAAATAATCAAGGGACACCAACCGAAAAAAAGTAACAAAATCTCTCTAGATTTCTCAAGATCTCAGGTGAAATCCCCTCTCAAGAACAAGAACAGATGTGAAAATTTTTGTATGTGAAAGCCTCCAAAACACTCGACTCCAGAACAAGTCCTGTTAAAAAGCCATCCAAACAAAAACCTCAGACCCAAAATCCATGAAATAAACAAAGACAGCTTAGAGGGCATAACAAAGATTCAAGATTAAAACAAAAAAAAAAAACCAACCTTTTTGACCTCAATCGCATTGAAACAGCCGGATTCACAAGACTCAACCTCTGCCTCAGGGTGCAGAATAGCATACAGCAAACTGAGCCCACAGCGAGTGTCAACAAGAAGGAAGTAGTAACAATCCAGAAATGAGCCCCAATCAATTCCAAAAGAGCCCCAATCACTTCAAGATCAAACTCAGACGACATAAATCTACTAATAGTCTTTCTTTTAATGTCAATTCTTCCAAGAAACCAAACTCAGACCTTTCACCGCTCTCTCAACTCTTCACTTGCCAAAGCAAAGAGAAAAATTTCAAAAGGTGAAGAGACAGATATATAGAGAAAAGAAGAAATGCAAAAGAAAGGTGTTGTCTCCAAGAAAGGATTGCAAATCTATGGCTAAGGTTATCTTCCACGAAAGAGAGCCAATTTTTTAATCGATCTGGAAACCAGCAATATGTAACTGGGGTAAACCAAAGCAATAAATATAGAGAAAAAAAAAAACAGCCGACCTTGGCACACGACACACAGATTGAAACTGACGCAAATCTCAATACAAACATCACCCAAATTTTTATTTTTTTATTTTTTTATTGTTTTTTAAATAAAAAAAGAATAAACAAAAAACCATTACATTATCATTTCTAATTTTTTTTGAAAAAATAAAAGAATGAAACTTCACATTTCACAGTGAAATTAACCTTGTTTGCTTTCACTGAGCCGGAGGAGGCTGTTTTGTCTGTGGCTCTGTCTCTCTCTCTAGCCCCAGTCTCTGTCTCTGTCTCTGTCTCTGCTCGGCAGTGCTTCTCTCACAGTGAGTGGCCCCTCTCTTTGCTCTTTTTCTACTCTATTCTATCAGGCCTGAGCCATTCGATTCGGCTTTTTTTTTATCACTGGTCAAAAATTCTCATTTAAAAGCACTGAGTAGGTAAAACACATTATATTAATAATTAAAAGTTAATTTATTTCTATCATTAGATATGAGCTGGCATGGGGCTGTGCAACATTACATATATACATGAATCAAGCATGACCAACGTACATGCATATCATGCCCCCCCATACGAGGCTGCGTTGGAGACAGTCTTGGAATCCAATGTTTTTGCTGATCACGCGTACTCTAACGTGCAGATCTGAGTCTTTAGAAGGATCTGACAGTAGAAAATGTCACCGTGAACACACGCTCTTAGTGAGAGAGTGAGTGAAGGCGATATTTGTCATTCAGCTTTTGGCGCCGCCAACGTTGACCTGCCAAGGAATCGGTTCAGTATCAACTATCTACACGATGATAACGGATACCGTTGGTGATATTTACGGGAAATGCCAATATTGGTTCTTGGTCGCCAAGTAACGGTAAATAATGATATTTGAAAAAAAAAAAAAAAGTTAAAGTAGGTCAAAAATAAATAAAAGTAAATGTATTTTTTACTGTTTATTCCTTTTTTCGAATTTGTTTAATTTTTATAAAAACTACTTTTACTTTCCTGTTTGATTTTTTCATCCTTGCATATTGTATGCAGAAAGTCAATATTTTCTTTACGAAAATACTGTAATAAAATTAACAACAATAATACTATGATGATAAAATAAAATAATTAATAAATATGGGGGTTGCACATCCACCAAAAAAAAATTAATAAATAGATAGATAGATAGATATAAACTTTTCAGTAGACAGCTAATCACGGTTTTCAGTAACTGACTTATAATACTTTGAATTATTTAAGGCTCTTATGTTTTGTCAATACTGCAATTAATGTCAATTAATCGATCAGACGGTAAGATTACATAAACTCATTCAATTAAGATATGGAGAAAATAATTTACAAAAGAAAATGGTCCAAAATTAATACATTAAAAGCATATGCATTTTCAGGATCTTCAGGGAATCTTCTCTTGTAGGGATATAGATCCTGAATAGTTATTTTTTGTTTCGGTTTGTTTGTTTGTTTTTGTTTGGGAATCTCCTCTTGTAGGGATATAGATCCTGGATAGTTATTTTTTGTTTCTGTTTGTTTGTTTATTTTTGTTTGGGGCTTCGCCCCTTAATGTTATCAAAAAAACAAAAAGCATATGCATTTATTATACCGAAAATTGGAAAGACATTTGATTGAATTTTATATTAAATTATGTTAAAATTAAGGGGAAAATATTTCTGCAGTTAATGCAGATAAGTTATCTGCATTTATTCTCAAAACGACGTCGTTTTGGTATTGAAATCTTAAAAAATTATAAATATAAAGACTATTAAAATCCCGAAATAAATTAAAATTACAAAAATACCATGATTTCCGCCCCAAAACGACGTCGTATTGAGCTTACTGCAGATAACTTATCTGCAGTAACTGCAGAAAAAACGAACCCTAAAATTAAAGGGGAAGGTTATACATACAACTTTTTTTCTTTACAACCTCTTACAACCATATATCTTAACCGTTGATTTCCATCAATCAACGGTTAAGATTTTCGTAAATTAAATTTATTAATTAATTATTAAATACTTTTTTTTTTGGAAATAATTATTAAATACTTTGAAATCTAAGAATTTCATCTGTTTTAGACTAAACAAATATAATTGTAAGAAGTTTTTTTTTTGTTCATGTAACGTACATACATGCATGCATGCTTTTTTAAGAAATATTACTGAAGTTTATACTTAAAATAAAAATTGAGTTTATTTAATAGTAATACGAACTTAAAATATATAATGTATCATGATACATGAGATTTATATTATTATTTTTTCTTATGATAATATACTCGGTGATATGTGAAAAAAATTAGAGAATATTTGAATTTTACTTTTTGTATACAATAATGACACTGGATTTGTATTTATAAACTCGTCCACATTATTCAAATCCTTAAAACTGATCCCCGCCGTTAACGTTTTTTGTTTTACTTTCTCTCTCTGCCATCACTGAATATGAATATGTAAACTAGTTTAGAAAATTAGAAGAAAGGGATAAAGATACAGGAAAATTTATAATAGAAGGAAGAAGAAATAATGCAAAAATAAAGAAGAAAGAGGTAAAAATGTAAGAAAGATGTTTTAGAGTTTTTTTCTTTTTTTCATTACATTCAATTATATGGCTTTTTATAAAGAAGATTTAAAATAAAAATGTAAATACAATAAAGATTATTATTGAATAATATCAATTAAGATTAATTCATACTAATTTAATGTTTAAATGGTAAAAACAACAAATATTTATAATCATAAATCCTTATTGATACAAATCACGATTAGGGCCCGTTTAGGCTTGTAAATAAAAAATTATATCTTACTTATTTTAGAAATGTTTTTTTAGAAAAACTAGGCTATTTAGAAGAAAAAAAAATATTTGTTTTTTAAAAAAATTATTTAACTTTTGACCTCTATTTTTTTTTTCAAGCTAAATTTTTTAGCTTTACAAAAAATTGATTTTTGACTCTCTTTTTTGTGAATCCCATTTTTTAAAAAAAAATAGTACTCTGTAGTTTGCAGTTAAAACTACTTTTTTCTAAAAAAAAAAAAGTTTTGAGGAAAAAAAACCTATACTTTAGTACCAACTAGTATATTGCATGTGCGTTGCACGAAAAGAAAGAAATCGATTTGTTTGTCTGTTTGAATTTAACGCAAATCGTAAAAATATACCGCTGCATTTTAGCTTGTCCTATAGTCATTCAAAAATTACATAGTTTGACTCGATTTCTTTCAGTATTTCTCATAGAAGAACTTTCATTTATCACAATATGATTGTTCATTTTGTTTAGATTCTTATTTATGAAATATTTACAGCAATAAATTCAATAATTTTAGCCACACGAAGACAGTTTGTTAAACGATAAATATATAATAAAAAATATATTGGCAGGCGGGGCGGGCCAGCTAGCTGGGCCGAGCCCCCTTTGTTACCTCTAACTGTCAGCATTTTATATAAGCGCGTAATAGGTTTTTATATGAATCCACACAAAAAAAAAAGTTGTTATAGTTGCGTCTAGATTACTATTTATCTATGTTTTCTATAGTTGCTACTAAATCGACTCTCTAAAGTGTGTGTATTTGTGACATATATTTTAGATGAAAAGTTGGCAAATATCTAAGTTATTACGTTTAATATTCTAACAAACATTTAGCCACTCAAAGACAGGTTTGTTAAACAGTAAATATAAAAAAAAACATGTTGGTGGGCGGGGTGGACCGGCCTCCTGGCTAAGCCTCCATTTTGTTTATATGTTTATTTCTAAAATATACACAACAATAAATCCAATTATCTTAGTCATACAAAGACAGGTTTTTTAGATTGTAAATAAAAAAATGTGTTAGCAGGCGAAGGGCCGAACCTATTTTGCCATCATCAACTGTCACCATTTTATATCAGCATGTAATAGGTTTTTATATTTATCTACACAAAAAAGTTCGTATAGTTGCGTCTAGATTTCTATCTATTTATGTTTTCTATAGTTGCCTCTAAAATCAAATGAAGTGGGTGTATTTGTGACATATATATTAGATGAAGAGTTACCAAATATTTGAGTTATTACATTTAATATTTTAATAAATACGTAGCCACTCAAAGACGAGTTTGTTAGACAATAAAAATATAAGAAAAAGATTGTGTTGGCGGGCGAGGTGAGTCAGTCATCCGGGCTTAGCCCCATTCTGATTACCACTTATTGTTTTTTTACTATAAATATCGATATGTACAAATATTTTTAGTGCTACAGAAATACCAAACAATCGATACATTATTTACCAAATATGCTAGAAAAATAATTTATTTATATTGTCCCCACCTCTATATTTATTTTTACTCTCACTTTTATAGTTATTTTCACTTGTATTTTTTTATTTTATTTTTATATTTTTTACTAATTTTGATAAGAGAATAATTCTTTGTCAACATTCAGCAACACTAAAGTTGAAATCGACATATAAATGCGACGATAAGGGGTAAAATGACAAACGTCTCTCAAATCATAAAACACATAATAAATTAATGAAGTTAAAATAGAGATAATCTTGCAATGAAAACAGCCTCATTAATTTCCAAAAAGAGACAAACATCTTAACCCAGACTGTGAGCTTTTCATCTGGTTCATTCTTAGAAAATTCATTTTATAAGAAACACAACCAAATGATGGTAGTTCAGTTGGCGCATGGGAGCTAAGCAGGTGGGGGTGAGAGCATATGTTCGAATCTTCGTTCGAATCTTCCTAGTACTACTTTTGGGAGGAGTTTAAAGCCTTAATCATGAACCCGCCCCGAATCGGATTAGTTACGAAGCAATGAACCGATTGAAATATTTCCAAAAAAATGAGGAACACAATATCATTTATGTTACTACTAATGAATTTTCCAAAAACACTTGAGATTAAAGAGAAAAAACTCAATATGTAATGATCAAAATCTCGTTATAGGAATCCCAGAAACTCAATAAAAAAAATCACCCTTCAAATTCTCACGAGGATGCGGCCACGGACGTGTTCCTGGGGATTGCTTAAGTACCTAAACAAAGGTGAAATATACATTGAGCACCCACACAACTCTGGATA